ACTATGATCCATTATGTATTCCATAATATTGCAAGAACCAGAAAAAATTAATTTTAGAATATTAAGAAGATTTTATTCTGTAGGAGGAAGAATCCAGAAGAAACTGAAGTAACATATGATTTATGATTCAGAAAATACTTTTGGACTTTGTAAGAATTGAGTATTCAATGAGGGGTTTGATAGAGAAAGCACACTTAAAGATTGAATCAACATGGGAGGGGAGAGAAAATGGGAGCTGGGCACAGATTTTCTGTCCACAAGTTGCTGTAGGAACACTGAAGAATGAACCATTAAAAAGAAAAAAAAATCCAGATTGCCCAAGAGGTTTGACTTATTATATTCAAAATGTGCTTCTTCTTCCAGTACAGTTTTTTAAAAAACCAGAGTGGCATTGAGATTGCTGGTAAAATACTTCAGAATTATAAGTTGGGAGGGTAAGAGAGAAATTTATGATGTCATACTATCAGGGACGAAAAAACCCACTATTTTTATAATTAACTTAAAAAATTTATAAACATATTATATTGAACAATTAAACAGAAGATTTCTACAAAGTAAATAAAACAAAAAATAATCAATTGATATTCAAAGATATAAAAATATTACCATAATTAATAACACTTTTAATTTAAGTGAAATAAAATATCATATGACTCTAACAGTTTGGTCGAGATACTCTTCTGAGACACATGAGAGGCCTTGGGACTAAAATAAGTCAGACTTTATGAGAACACATGACATAAATACATTTCCATATGACATTTGGGTACAAAATCTAGCACCTTAGAAAAGTCCAAGGTAGAAACTAAAGTATAGAGTCATCAAAGAGATAACGAAGAGTAAACACTGCAAAGTGAATTTCAGGGATACAACTAGAGATAGCAAAATAAATAGATGAAGGAATGAGTTTGGAAACTCTGATGGATGTTTTACCTGGAGAGATTTGTTCAGGTTGGGAGATAGAAGTAGTGCATCGTATAGTGGTTTGGGTATAGAACTTTTATTGACACCACACTCTTTGGATAATTTTGGTCAATTGTAATGCTATGAAACAATCAAAGCAGTAGGACATCAAGAGTCTTAAAATCTTTGATAAATGGTGGTGCTGACAAAGACTTTCTCCTTGACCAAATTTAGACAGGCTAGTCTGATCCCTGTTTTCAACTAGGCTTTGTCATTATACATTGTCTGTAGGCCCACTAGCCCAATTTTAGCAAGAATCTCTGGTAAGCCAGTTTGGAAAGAATTCCCCATCCTTTATATCTGATTATACTCAATATCTCATTAAATTCCTCATCCCCCACTCTTGGTATTTGATCATCTTTGATCTGCATTCAGTCAGGGGTTTGATAGAGAAACCACACTTAAAGATTGAATCAACATGGGATGGGAGAGAAAATGTGAACTGGGCACAGATTTTCAATCTATGAGTTGCTGTAGGAACATTGAAGAAGGCTGTAAATATCAAGCATCCTGTTAAGTCTGTTTAGCAAGAATTCCCCTACCTTGATATCTTCTCTTAGTAATTTCCCATTCACTGACTCCCCACTTCTGCTCATTTGCTATAAATCCTTAGCTATCTTTGCTTTATTTATTCATGTTGAACTGACCTTTCTCCCCTATTTCAACAGTCTTGACACTTATTGCAGTAATCCTGAATAAAGTCTCCCTGATAATTGTAACATGTGTCAGATTAATTATTCTTCAACAGTGGTCAAAGTAATACCCAGGGTGGTTTCCTTCCAATAACATGATAAAAAGCTTAAGAAAAAGTTTTAACACTGCATTAGGGGTACTCTAAAAATGTCCTAAAAGAAGGAAAAAGTGCATATAACTCTTCATGCTCTGCTACCTAAGCATTGTGCAAGATGCTAGGTTAAGGCCTACTACAGGTTAGATTGAATTACATATTTTTAAAATCTGACTTAATAAAAACAAGCACAATATCTAGGAACTTATGGTTACTCATAAAAATTGTTTTAAAATATTTAATGATAATTTGTGAATATGACAGATACATTTGGGTAAAAGATCTCTGTTACTGATCATTAAGTCTTAAGTTTGACTTTAATCTTTTTTTCTTTGCTCCCTCACCCTAGAGTATTTCCCATTTTTTTTCATTGCTTTTGGGTTCTGTATCCACAGCATTCATTTCAGGTACTATTTGCACAATGGTGGACCAAATAGTCATGTTTTCTGCCCTCTTGCAGCAATTTAAAAGAAGCTTTTGAATTTGACCTACCTAACATCAGCTTACAGAAAATTGTGATACATGCATGTTTGTTAACAAACCCAGCACAGTTTATTATTTGTTTTGGTAATGAAGAATGAAGGGTAATCCTAGATTCTTTTTCCTGAGAAACCAGAAGATTGGAGTGGCATTTCTAAGATGGTTAAAGTGGATAGGGATTCCAAGTTTTAAGAAGACATCGTGAACTTCCCTTTATTCATGTTGGCTTTCAAATTTTTATTAACTATCAAGAGGCATATTTGAGTCGGATAAGCAAGAGACTAGATTCAGAAAAGATATCTAGCTAAGATATTAAATTTGGAATTATCACCAGGTATTTGTATTTAAAAGCATAGAACTGAATGATATCTTCAAGAGAGTATATTCAAAGCAAAAGGATCAAGGTTATACAACATAAAAAGGTTGAAAAGAAAGAATAAAAATCAAAGGGACTAGGAAAGACCCATGGATAGTGTAGGAAGAAAACCATGGTATTCTGAAAGCCAAGTTAAGAAAGTATATTAAAGAGAAGGGAGAGGTGGGAACACTTAAAATCTACTCTCTCAGCAATTTTCAAGTATATAACACCTTACTAATTATAGTCACCATATTGTATTTGTACAATAGATCTCTTGGACCAATTTGTCCTGCCTAACTGAAACTTTGCATTCTTTAATCAACATCTTCCCAATCAACACAACCTTCCTTATCGCCTCGTAACCACCTTTCTACTCTCTGCTTCCAATGATATGGTATGCGAGTTAATAAATGTGTTAGCCTGATTTAGTCATCCTGTAACATATACATATATCAAAACATGATGTTGACAACATAAATGTATATAATTTTTATTGTAATTTTTGTCAAGGAAACATAAATATAAAAAAGAGGAGAGATTGATCAATAGTTTTAAACATGGCTGGTAGATTTCTTAGCATGAGGACTAAGAGCTATCCTTTTGATTTTGCAATGTGAGATCATCAGAGCCATTGATAAGACCAATTTTAGTAGAGTAGGCTTTAGTAGAAAGCCTAATTGGAGTACACTCATGAGAAACAAAAGAGAAGCATTGGAAATATGAATATAGACTATTCATTTGAAGAATTTTGCTGCAGAGGTGAATGCAGAAATGGAGGAGTAGTTGGTTGGCAAAAGTGAAGAATGGAGTGACAAGAACGTTTATTAATTAGGAGCATGTTTATTTCAAGAGGGTGTAAATACCAGCAAATGATGGAACTGATACAGTCAAGTATGAAAGCTTATCATATAGGATAAATCAGAGAGTTGCTGTAGTAATGATACCGAGACAATATAGAATTTCCTGCATAAATGGAAGGATATATAACAGCATGCATATGTCACCTAAAGTAAGTGGAGGAAGAGCAGAGAAACTGGGTGAACACTTATTTATTTATTTATTTATTTATTTATTTTGAGATGGAGGCTTGCTCTTTCGCCCAGGCTGGAATGCAATGGCGCGATCTCAGCTCACTGCAGCCTCCACCTCTGCGGTTCAATTGATTCTCCTGCCTCAGCCTCCTGAGTAGCTGGGATTACAGGCATGCACCACCACATCCAACTAACTTTTGCATTTTTACTAGAGACGGGGTTTCGCCATGTTGGCCAGGCTGGTCTTGACCTCCTGACCTCAAGTGATCCACCCGCATCCCTCTCCCAAAGTGCTGGAATTACAGGCGTGAGCCACCGCGCCCAGCCTGGTTGAACATTTAGAGAGAGAATTGGTTAATGGAAAATCTAAGGGTATTCTCAGCCAGTAGCCAAAAGCAAGAGCTAAATTAGGAGAAATTACGGTGATTCTGTGATTACATATAAAAGCTAGGTGATTTAGTCTGGGTTCTCTAGCGGAACAGAACTCATAGGATATGTGTATATATGAAAGGGAGTTTATTAAAAATAACTGACTCACGTGGTCACAAGGTAAAGTCCCACAATAGGCCGTCTTCAAGTTGAGGAGCAAGGAAGCCAGTAGAGGATCAGTCCCTGCCCCAAAATCTCAAAAGTAGAGAAATTGACAGTGCAGCCTTCAGTCTGTAGCTGAAGGACCAATAGCCCTAGGCAAGCCACTGGTGTAAGTCCACAAGTCCAAAGGCCAAAGATCTGGGGTCTGATGTTGGAGGGCAGGAAGCATTCAGCACAGAGAAAGATGGAGGCCGCAAGACTCAGCGAGTCATCTCATTCCACCCTCTTCTGCCTGCTTTTGCTGTGCTGCAGCTGAGGCGATGGTGCCCACCCAGATTAAGGCTGTGTTTGCCTCTCACAGTCCCCTGACTCAAATGTAAATCTCCTTTGGCAACACCCTCACATACACACCCAGAAACAATACTTTGCATCCTTCAACCCAGTCAAGTTGACGCTTAATATTAACCATAATACTAGGTTGAAAGTCACAGGTTCTCCAAGAACTAAAATGGGCTTACTTTCTCTCTCCTCATTCCTTCCAATACCCTCAAATCAGACAATGTAAAATCCAACCAAATAGAAAGGTTGTATTCCCTCTCTCCCTTCCTGTGTCTCTGCTTTCCTTTCTTTCTCATGTGTTCCTAGTCACAGTGAAGAGGATTCAGGATTTTTAATCGATTAACCCCGTCCAAAAACACAGCAGTATTTTTTCCTCATTGGTGGAGTGGAGAAAGAAGAAGTGCCAAAGAGTCCGGGATGACAATTCCCGTAAATGGAAAAGAGAGAAGCCTGGAAGAAAAACAAACCGATCTATGGTAAACAATCAGTTGAAACATCATTGGTTTCAGAAGAGTTGTCTAAACCATTTATTTTTACTGTGCCTCTTTAGATACCAGCATATTTGTTTACTGATACCAATCCTAGACTATGAAGTCATATCGTCTTCTACTTTTGAATTTGGACAAAATCTAGAAGAGTCTTCCTTTTCTCTCTGGGAAAAAAAAAAAAATGTTGTAGTGTGTTATCGCTCCAAATACTTTTTTGCTAATTTGTCCAATATTATGGCAAATAAATAAGTGAATTTATAAAGTCTGTATAAACGGAATCCCTGGGAAGGGAGGTAATATGTAATTTGCACATCCAAACGTGGCAGACCAAAGTTGTGGCATACACTCCTTATGAAACAGATAAGAGGGGCTGCGGGAATATATCACACACAGCACTTCTGAAAGGATCTGTAGAGGGTAATAATTGTCAGTGCCTTTTCCAATCCCTACAGAGAATTCAGTACCTTTTAAAATTAAGGAATATTTATTACTTTTTAAAATTAAATCTTTCAATATAAAGAAGTAACTTCTATTTTACCAGATTTTGAAGGAAAGATTTTTCCTCAGACAGACATTAATTTAATAAAATGTTAACGTTTACAGATAAAGTTCATTTATATTCATAACCACACTCATGAGATAGAGGATCATTTTGAAAATAAACAAGTAGGAATTGATGGCTACTATACCTGAGAGCTTATGGAAAAACAGATGTTTGTTAAAATACAGTAGACTCTATTAGCCAGTTTCACGAGTGAGAAGAAGTCTTCTATTCCTCTTTGAGCCTCTTCTCTGGTGGTCAGGAACATTTTCAAATCAAGATGTACATTACTATTTTTGCAAACAACGAGCCATCATTCCAATTCTTCAGTATTGTCTCCTGTGGAAGGCAGAATATTCCTTCCCTCAAAGAGGTCTACACCCTAATCCTTGGAAGCTGTAAATATATTACCTTAGGTGGGAAAAAGGACTTGAAGATCTGATTAAGTTTACTGACCTTGAGAAAAGGATCACAGCCTGGATTATCTATGTGGGCCACTTTTAATCACACGGATTATTAAAAGCAGAGAACCTTTCCAAACTGTAGTCAGAGGGAAGTATGAGATGGGAAAAAGGTCAGAGGGCGGCAACATTGCTAGCTTTCAAGATAGAGTAAAGGGACACTGGCCAGTGAATGTAGCCCCATCTAGAATCTAAAAATCAAGGAAATGGAGTCTCACTTGATAACTTCAGAAAGGAATGCCAACCTCTGACTCTGACTTTAGCCCAGTGAGAACCCTGTGAGACTTCTGACCTACAGAACTGTAAGAAGCAAGTTGGTGTTAAACCTCTAAGCTAGTGATAATATACACCCTACAGGAAAAACATTTCTACAGTATGTTGCCCCCTTTCCTGGCACTTTTTACAATAAAAAACAAGTATGCCTTTTATTTTTTAAAAAAATGACATATGAATGTTATGTTGATAAATTAAGAAATTTTTATTTACATTTCTAAATATGCTTTTCCTCAGGACACATTTAAATAAAGAGTTCCCCTGATATTTTCAAATATAATGTTATTTAGAATGCAATGTAGTTATGTGGTAGTTTGTGGGTTTTTTTTTTTTTTTTTTTTTTTTTTTTTTTTTTTTTTTAACCTCACTGGTTTTATAGATTAAATAAATGCCAGTAATGTTTGTTTATATGATAATCTGCCTACCCTTGTATGTAATTCTCATGCACACATATCTGTTGACTGAATGAAAGATTGAATAATAAATGGATTAATGGACAGAGAAATAAAAGGAATGAAAGAATGAATAAATTAATCTTTAGTTATGCATTATAGCCACAAAAGAAAAATATCTCTCCACCTTCTGACTCATTTCAGAAAGACCCAAGAGATTGTACTTCACCAACAAATCTCCCTTTTAGAATATTGTATCAAACACAGGAATAGTCAATGAATAACATTTGCATCAGTCATATTACCTTTATGTTTCTTTTGATCAAAATTGAATTATGATTTTACTCAATTATACTGTTTTCTGTACTTATATAATTTAAGTGTAATTAAATATATTTTGAAGTTATGTAACATAAAAGTTTGTGGATATAAAGACACATATTAGTTCATTCATATCTGGGTAAATGTTTACTATTGTTGAAATTTAATGTGTAAGACATTATTATGAATATTTAAAAAATCACAAAGGGGGTTAAACATTTAATGAAAAGCTGATATGTTAACTATAACTCTGGGGTTTAGCTTTTATTATTCTTATTATTATTTTGAGACAGAGTCTCACTCTGTCACCCAGGATGGAGTGCAATGGTGCAATCTCTGCTCACTGCAACCTCCACCTCCTGGGTTCAAGCATTTCTCCTGCCTCAGCATCCCGAGTAGCTGGGATTACAGGCTCCCGTCACTACACTGGCTAATTGGTTTAGCTTTATTTTGTTTATTAAGTTCCTTTTCATTCCTGTTCATATATACCACAGAGATCTTTATATAGTTGCAGCTATATTTGAATATTAACGTTTTATTATTCAGTTTATGCTTAAGGGTAATAGGTATTTCTCATTATTCCACACATATAATTTATCTCATACTTACAATTTTTGATAACTTCATACTAGCCTGTGTTATTGATGTAACTTAATTTATTAAGTTACAAGTTGAATATCTATAATCTGAAAAGTTTAGTACAAGATTGATTGGGATTTTGGATTGTTTTCATATTTTGGAATATTTTAATATATATAAAATTATATTTCTTGGGGATGCCACATATGTCTAAATGCAAAAATACAATCTGAAGGAAATTTTATACAATATTTTAATAATTTTATGCACGAAACCAAGTTTTGACTGGACTTTGACTACAGCCCATCACAAGAGGTCAAGTGTGAAACTTTCCATTTGAGGTATCATGCCTATGCTCAAAAAATGTCAGATTTCAGAGCAATTCAGACTGGACTTTCACATTAAGCATGTTCAATGTACTTTCTGCTGGGAGTTTAGGTTGGGCAGGTACAGAAGCCAGTATAGGATTTGACTTTTCAAAATGTATAATTTAAAAAATATTGTTGATGTGATTAATATTTTTGCACCTGACATACAAACGGGGTATGCGGTGATATTAGTGGTAAAAGGGAATGCTCTGTATTCTGCCCTAAAAATCAATATAGAAAATACCATAAACATATTAACAACTGACTTCACCGGCCTCTCAAGAGACTTCTTGTCTACTAATGGTGATTTATGTATTTTCAGTGAATATCAAATAATCTGAATGTTTCCTGAACTATATACAATTAAGAAATGTTTCGCTAGGGCTGAAACAAAATCATACACACTAAAGCTAAATATAAGAAAGTTTGCATTTCTTCAATTTGCTGCTTCTATGTGAATCCTACCATTCACTGGTCTGGAAAATAAAAAATTCAATATGTTTAGAAATTCAGAATGGAAATAAAATGATAATAAATATACAGTGATGCGGCATTGCATTTAGAACTAAGGTCTACCCAAATCAAATCTATTACATGTCTATCTAGTCCCCTCACTCTCTTATTGAGAACATAAAATCAACATACAACTTAAAGCTATCTTGTACTAATATGCATCAAAACCTCCTCCAATTTGTCTAGCCTGTCACCAGGACAGCAATTCCCATTCCCATTGTGCAATATTTATTCTATTCATGTCAGTCCCTCTCAGGTTACCTGCTTATCTGCTGATGTTCTTCTGCCATTGAAGCTTTTGTTGATTTCAGTAGATGCCAGAAGACTGCAAAAAAAAGAAAGGCAATGCTGAAGGATACTTCTTCTGTACATTATTGAGCTTCTTTGAAAATAGACATAAAAGTGATGTTTCTAGGTTCTTCTATTCAAAAATAGAGATGGTATGGTTTTCATCTTAGAACTTACATATGTATGTACATATTTCCCAGTTAGATAGAGTTTTGTGGAAAATATATAGATTTAACCCTAGTTTTGATCTTTGACAAAATGAATCAGATTTTATTCCTCTTTGAGTTTTGCATTGTTTATAAGAGGGTTTGGTACACCACACATTTAGTATAATAGTATTGTTTCAATATTCTCACTCACATTTATATAGCAGTTCTTTTTTTCCATATATCTGTTCTTTTACTTTCTAAATAAATTTGATCGTATTATTTCCACTATTTTTTTTTTCTCTTTCTTTAGTGGAAATCCTTGAATCTCTATATTTACAAAGTAAATTACTAAAAGTAAACGGTAATGATTCAGTTTCTGGACTATTCTTTAATGTATTCCAGATGAAAACTTTTCACTTACAAAACAAAATGTTACTATGTACTTTCACTAAATCTGTAAAAATATCCCAAGAAGCAAAGCACATTTTGATTTTCTACCAAAATTGGGTTTCACTTTATTAATAAAAGCATACAGAGACTGATTGCACTTTCATAGTTTTCTCCACTAATTGTCTTGAAATATTTGTCATAATATTTTTATGGTAGACCAATAGAATATGGTTAAGAGAAGTCGTGTCCTGCACCCGAAATGATCATAAGCTAATAATTTCTAAGTAAAAGAAAACTCCAGGAGGTTTTAACAAGGAATCCAGTCAAGTCTGTATGACTTAGATTTTGAATTTCTCAAGGTTCTGCATGCCAGAAAATCAGGCATGCAGATATGTGAGCAAAATTATTTCTCCTTATTTGACTACATCACAGAAGATATATTGTCACATCTGGGAATATAGCCACTCTTCAGAGTGCTAATTCTGATATTTACTTTGAATGTTCATGAATCATTTATTTGAATGTAATGGTTCATAATATTCTAAAGATGATTGTATAGTAAATCCACAATGTAAAAAAGTCATAATATTTGTTATGATTAGTTCTATCTCTGTAAAGGTACAAGCATAATATGTAGCTAAAAGTGATCAGAATATCCTAAACCATTAGTAACAAATAAATATTTTGTACTGAATTTTTCTCACTTGTTTTATGTTCCTATTTTATCTCTCCTTTGATAGGGTTTGAACGTGTAATTCTCCAACTTATTACTCTTATTGCTTGAGTACTTATTTTATTACATAATTTCCCATATAAATGACACATAGCTCCATTTGGGAATAATTTTATGTGGCAGCTAATGGACCATTACATTCACTACATGTTACTAGCAAAGCAGAGTATTGGGCACTGGTATGCCTTTGTTTTCATTCTATTTCTTAACATCGCATAGCCCTTGATCCATGGAGACTGTCTCTACCCTCCATGTTCTCTCATTTCAACCAGCAAGAGCCAGAGGAAGGAGAGTAGGATTTGGCAGAAGATTAACAGCACCTGCTTTGACTTTTTCAAGGTTGGAGATAGGGCAGGAAGCAGCCAATGTTTTACAAGGCATGGATTCTTCGTGAAGCTTTCATTTTGTGCACCCATTGTTCAAAATCTATTTCTCTCCTTGCTGAGCTCATGAATCTCTGTAAGCACTACTGATTATAGTAATCACACACCTTATGGGTTAAGAGTTCAGAAAGCAACTCAAGCTATATTTTGCATCAAAATTCAAAAAAAGCAAGATATTTCTTTGTTTTGTTATCATGCTTCTATTAGTTTTATTTTCCAGTAATTTGTTCCATCACATTACTTTGTAAGAATTTGAAATTCTTGCACCATGATTTATTATGAAACCATAAAAATACTAATAAATGCATCAACCAGAAGTCTATTATTACCTAAGAGGCATTTTCAGCAAAGTACAATTTAGCTTTTTATGAAATATGTAGCCATTCATGTTTTAACCTTTATAGATTACCTCATTTGATTTTTATTCTGTGTTATCATAAAGATGAATATTGTTCATGATAACTGATTTTTTCATGGTAGATATATAAATGGACACTATTGTATGTGTGCTATGGCATCATGTCATGAAGACCATTCATAATACATGTGATGTAGATGAAAGTGGACATTATTTTTCAAAGTAAAAATCACTAAACTAGTTTTAATTTACATTACTATTCTCTTCATAATAGAAAACATGTTCATTATTCATGGCTGCTCACTATACACCCTTCTATGTCTTATAATAGCAGTCCACCTTTTAAGAACTACATACTATTAGGTATTCATCCAAATGATTTAACCATTAATCCTTTACATGTATGTCCATCTCTTATTTTTTTTTTTTTTTTTTTGATAAGTAGTCTCTGTCCCCCAGGCTGGAGTGCAGTGGCGTGATCTCGGCTCACTGCAAGCTCCGCCTCCCGGGTTCGCGCCATTCCCCTGTCTCAGCCTTCCGAGTAGCTGGGACTACAGGCGCCCGCCACCGCTCTGGGTTAATTTTTTGTAATTTTTAGTAGAGACTGGGTTTCACCGTGTTGGCCAGGATCGTCTCGATTTCCTGACCTCGTAATCCACCCGCCTGGGCCTCCCAAACTGCTGAGATTACAGGCGTGAGCCACCGCGCCCGGCCTGTTAATAGTAAAATAAAATTTAGTTAAGCTTATTTTAGCTATATATTTAAACAGTATTTCTAACAAGATCCATTTCTAGAACAGCAATCTTTAGATGAAATTGAATATATGTAAAATCTGTTGACAATTATTACTGAATTTAAATTTTCACCAATAATTGCAAGGAATTCAATTTCACTATTTTTACCTACCTGCTTGCGTTTGTTCCCATTAAATCTTTGCTAATAAGGTAAATGCTCTGTTATTGTTTCAACTGTACATTTGATTCATATTGAGATTTATCTTTATTGAACATTTTGTGCTTTTCATTTTGTGAAGTTCTTGCTTTTATATTGGTATTAAACTAATTATGCATCCTAAGTATTAATTATTTAGGTTATATTTTGAATTTTTCAAATCATTGCCATTCAAATTTTAATTATTTAAATGTATTTATTAACTTGTAGTAGTATTTAAATTTTTCTCTTTAAAATATATCAGTTTCTTATTTGTTTTCTACTTCTTGAATAATTCTCTTCTCTAAGACTGCATATATTTCAACTACATGTTTATTCTATTAGTAGTTGTGTAGTTTATTTTTTAAATCCATATTTTCAGTCAATCAGGCATAGTTTTGTACTACCTAAAATGATGCAGGGCTATACTTTTGATACTTGTTAACAATATAAGTGTTATATATTATAAAAATGCCTAACTTATCATATTTCTACAAATACTTAGTCTTGCTTCTAGACTTCTTTTTTTAAACTATAGAATTTTATATAATATATAATATATGTAGGATGTATATATGTTATATATACTTATATGTCTTGAATATAATACAGTATTACTAACTGTAGATTGTATCTCTAGACTTGTTCATTACATATTATATTTTATATTTATATTATATTACATATGTGTGTCTGTGTGTATATATATAAAATCATGTATCACATGATACCTATCTGCTGTGGCTTTTTTCAAGGCAGTGTCAAAGAGATGATGATGGAAGACAATTGTGGAGTTAGGCTATTAAACATACTGGATTTGACTGTTATTAGGAATACCAAAATTTCTAATTCTTTAGTAATTGATCGTTCTGCTGAGGCATTAATTTGGCTTATAAATGCCAGTAGTTGGAGTAGCAGTTGCTACTTAGTAGGTTAGTATGTAGTAATGACATTTTTGAAATGCAATATTTATTGTGCATAAGGGGTTGGTCCTTAGTGGCATCAGATATTAGTATAGTCAGGTCACTGCTTTCACTTCTGTCTCCTGTGAAAACCAACATAAACATACAGACACATACACACAGAAACCAAAAGTTTGTTATTGAGGTTCTCAGCAAAACTACATTCGTCTTGAATCACAAAATACCCTTTTCTTACATATTCTTAGTACCATCTTCAATGATAGTTGTCAATAAGAAGGTAGAGATACTTATTCATGCTGTGATAATTATTATATGCCTAATTTTAGTTACTAATTCTACTTGTGTATTTGTCATTATTTCCTGTAGCATAGCATGCTGTGAAGTATATTCACGCCAAGTGAATTCCCTTCATTTATATTAACGTTGAAGTAAAGCACATGAACACATAATTTCGTATAAGAGCTATTAAAGCCAGATGCTAAAGAAAAATACTTTCACTAGTATGGCTCACTTAAGTATTAAATGATTTCCTATGATTGAATCAAGTACACCAAACATTACCTCAAAGAAACAGAATTCAATCATCCTTTATTTGATATAATTGTTTTCCTCTCATTGGCTTTGCCCATGGAATCCTTCCAGCTATAAATGTAAAATATTTGAATACATATATTCAAGGATTAAAAATGCTACAAATATACCAATGTACATAGGAATTACTCAGCAAACCTGAGCAATATATGGTATGAAATAACATTAAAATTAAATCACCTAATATTCAGACTTGTAAAAACTAATAGGCATATTTTGCATGGTCTTTTAGTAATTATGTATTTCTAACCACTAATATAAACCTTCAAATCCAAGAGATAAATATTTATTTATAGTAAACTTTTTTGCTTTTCTTTTCTCTCGCCATCACCCCAGCAGGACAGACCAACCCATTACATAATTTATTATGTATTAAACTCTCATTGCTTTATTTTTGTTGCCTCACTTATGGGAAGGCTGGTCAAATATGCAGCAAAATAGGGAAGTATCCTTTTAAAACAAAGAACACACTAGAAAACATTAGATTTAATTACAGGCAATAATTTTAAAGCAATATTTCTCTTATAAACATCTGCGGCATTATAATATAAAATTGACTTGATATTTAGATTTTTGTTAATTTTGAAAAGTACATCCTAGACCAAAATGCAACTTTTATGCAACTAAATGAGGTTTCTCTTTAAGAAAAATGCATCAGATAGAAATAATTTCCATTTACATATTTAGAATACTCATGAAGAACAATTTATTTTCTTATTTGTTTACTCTGGAGGTCATCAGAAGAAAAGCCATAATAGGTTGTTATGAAAAATTTGATGCTGATCAGAATGAAAAATTGTCTTTAAAATGTATTTTCATGGAATCATAAATCCTCTTCAATTTTAGCTGCAAACTCTAAAATAATATAAAGTGACTACATCAAATTTGTCAAGGAATCTTGTTAATAAATAGCACTGTGATAGAGTAATATGAGTTAGCACTGAAGAGGGAAAGAATTCAGGGTGTATAAAAGCTCAATATTCAGGATAATTATTTTAACTCAATAGTACTAAAAATCAATTTTAATGCAAAATAATTCCATGATGATAAAAATATCAAATTTTAAATGAAGGATCTGATCCTGCACTTGCATAAATCAGTTGCACTCGAACTCTTGTCTTGTTAGTTAAAATACACATTTGCTGAATTTTTTAAGTAAACATTCAAATGAAATTGGGCATTTTTATTTATTTGTGTTTTTATTTATTATTTTTAAAAACAGGGTCTTGCACTGTTGTACAGACCAGAGTGCAGTGGTGTGATACTGCAGCTGCAAACTAAGGGGCTCAAGGGATCATTCTGCTTCAGCCTACCTAGTAGTAGAACTACAGGTTTGTGCCACCATACCTGGCAAGTTAAAAAAAAAAAAAAAAAAAAAGTACAGATGGGGTCTTGCTATATTGTCCAGGCTGGTCTGGAACACTGCTGGCCTCAGCCCTCCTCCCACCTTGGTCCCCCAAAGCACTGTTATTACAAGTGTGAGCCACGATGCCGGGTCTGCAATTGGACATTTTGATTCCTAAACATTGAGTTAAAAAGTCATGATATTAAAAATCATGATTATTTATGGTAACAAAAATAAAATGGAGATAGAGGGAGATTGCTGAT